CGCATCAGATGTATCACGTACTTAAGCCAATATACTCTCTCTAATAAGCCAGTCTGAGTCAGATAAGACCATGGGCTTTAAAAGCAGGCTGCCCAAGTCTAAAGCCCAGTTTGGTAATTCACTAACTCGGTCATCTTGGCAGTTACTCCAAGGCACTGTCCCTCAGTGTCCCCATGTGTAAGATGGGCTATTAACACCTTCATTATAGAGTTGCCATGAGCACTAAGTGGGTTAATGCTGGAAAATTCCTTAGGACGGAACAAGGCAAGAACCATGCTATGATTTAAAGCAATTATTGCTTTACCTGGGCTTAGTGTTACTTCCCGTTGAAAACATCCTAACTGCTATGTTTGAATTTTGATTTCACGAGTGATCTGAAGCAAATAATTTAAACCTCTGGGCCCTGGTTTCCCGATTTATAAAGTAAGAAGGTTGGTCTGTGATCTCCAAGGTACCTTCCAGCTCTGTTTTAGTAAATATGGTTAATATACATTACATTTCAAGCTGTTTTCTCTCCCAGTATGATTTAGAATGCAAATACCAGAGTTCATGAGTCTGTCTTTTATTCATGTGTTCAATAAATATTTATTAACAACCCACCAAGTGCGAGGCACTGTTCTAAGTACTAAGAATATAGTGATGTTCAAAACTGATTTAAAAAATCCCTACTTCATGGAGTTCCTATTTTGGTGGACATAGATAAACAAATAAGTACATAAAATATATAGTATATGAGGCCATGATGAGTTCTATGGAGAAAAGGAAAGCAGGAAAGGAGAAGGAAATAAAAGGGGGCAGGGCCAATTTTAAATAGACCTGTAAATTCCCAGGTTCTTGAGGACTGACTGACATAAATCAGCAAGTATAAAAATGAGATTAAAGTTAGTGGTCTCAAGAAAGATAATGGTGGTGAGCCTGTGAAAAGGGTCCTATTTAATGTGAGGTAAGGAAGCCTAAGTTTCAAAGACCCTCACGTGCATGTGCCATTTTGAGGACCCCATGGGGAGCTACCAATGAGTTCTCATGGTATTTTGTATTCTTTTACTTGAAAAGGACACCCCATAATGTAGAAGTTTTAGGTCCCACAAAATTTGGATCTGCCCTTGTTGTACACACTCAGTGGGCAGGGAGGCACTGGTGTGGATCATGCTAGAAGCATCCAGAGCACCCAGGATGCCCACTCAGACCTGCTGCTGCATAATTATCTGCCATCTCAAAACCACTGGTGGATTGCATTATTGTTCTCCACTCTTCACCCCACCCCTGCCTTTCTCTACCACCTTAGTCATGGGCTTTCACAGCTCATCCTACAAGAGACAGGATCCTTGTCTCACTGATGTTACCTTTAACTATAGGGCTTGCTTAGCCGAAAGGAACATTCTGAATGCGATGAGAATAAAGACTTTAAAATATGCCTTTGGGCTGGTGATTTTCCTTTTGTGCTCTTTCCTTTTGTCATGAAAAGAATCTGTCCAGCGTAGCCTTCTGGCCTTGTTAAAGGAGTAATACCCAGAGCAGATCTGAACTCCAGCTAAGCCTGAAGCCAGGCCCAGCTAAGCCCGCCTAGATCAGTTGCACCCGGTCAACCCACAGACAAGAGTGAGAAATAAATGCTTATTTTTTGGTACCAACCACGATGAGATTTTGTGGTTTTCAACTCTTTGCATAATTGTAGCAACAGCTGACTGATAGAACAAGCAATGCGATTTTGTCAGCTTAGGCTAAACTATGCTGCAGTAACAAAGACCTCTATATTTATGGCTCACCTTAGATGCCATCATGGGGCAGCTGAGGCTCTGTTCCGTATTTTCACTCAGGGATCCTGTCTGTCAGAAAGGCCCTTGTCTGGATTTACTGGTCTCCCAGTGGAGGGTACAGAGATGGGGACTCTGTACTAGCTCTGGAGACTTCTGCTTAGAAATAACACACACATGACTTCGCTCACATTTTACTGGCCAAAATACATTATACAGCTGTACCTGCTTAGGGCAGGAATGCACAGTCCTCTTGCATGGAGCCACACAGAGGGAATGAACCCACAGGAAGGCCTCTACCTCGGGTAGAAGCAGCGGATACTTTGAAAAATAATAAAAATCTACCACAACAAAATAGCTTGAACATTTTGGGTAGACACGATGAAGGCATGGGTTGACTCTAACTTGTGCCACATCATTTTCTGATTGCCTGGAATTATGCTATACCTTGAATCTGCAAAGCAGAGGCTGTGTTTGTGTGCTCCTGTGGATCATACACCTCCTCTCGTGGGATGTGCCCATCACTCTTCCTAGGACAGACAAGCAATGATAGAAAGCCTGTAATTTTCTCCCTAAAACTATCAACACTGCTCTGCTTTCCAAGCATCAGTGTTTTCCATGGAAAAGAAATTAGATATATAACGAAGGTTCCAAATAAAGCAAAACAATTGTGCAGGGAAGCCATGATGTTATAAGGACCCCCATTTTCCTTTGTTGCTCTGGAACAGGGAGTTCCCAAGTGTTTGGATGTCAAAATTGATACTGCTGAACTCGGAATTCATCCAACTCCCACCACCCCCTTCACACCACAAAAGCCAAGTTTTATATTTCATCCTAGCATGGAAGGAACATTCTGTAATTTCTTTCACCCGTGAATTACTTTCTAAAGAACCAGTAAATCAAAGTTGTGCATAATTTCTCTTTCCCTCCCTCTCTTTTTTTTTTTTTTTTTTGAAAAGTCATCTTTATTATTGTGTGGTTCTTTCTGGCATTAGTATTTTGCTCATAAATCAAGATGGTCACCTTCTGTGAAGGGGGATACCAAAGTAGAATTTAACCATCCACCTAGCCACTTGAGCTAGAGACCTAGGTATCTCCATAATCTTTTTCTCTTTTTTCACTGCTACCATGGCCTTAGTTCAAGCCCTTAGAAACATTTGCTATGTTATTCTCTTAGCCTTCTAATGGCCTCCCAACCTTGAATCTCTTCCCTCTTTACTCCCTTAAAAATGCCAGTGAGACCAAAGATTCTTCTAGTACTTTCTTTTGGTAACTGGCATAGGGAAGTTTGGGATGGTTTGTAATTGATTAGAAATAAAGAGATTGATACCTCAGGTAAATTGGGCATCAAATAATGAAACTTTAGCTGATAATTTTGCATTTTCTTTTGATATGTGGTGTCTTTTTGGAATCACACCGCCCCCCCCCCAAAAAAGCAAAAAGATAAATAGAATCTATTTTGGAGTCTTCTTTATCAGAAGAGCTTAGGAAAACAAAAGGTCCTCAGTAATAACAAGGCAACTCAAGGTATTTGAGATCTTGATTAAGCACTTGTGAAAGGTGATAGAATTTCATGAATCCCTGGCTCATAGCAGTCCCTAAATACTTTTTGTTCTCCCAAGGAATAGCAAATGATTGCTTGCATTGAAATTTTAGGAAGACATTGGAGTTGGCACAGATCCACAGCTGTAAAGTACATGGTTCAGGGAAGGATCGAGGAAAAGAATAATATTCGGATTTGGATCCCAGAAAGAGTTTTAACCCACCCTCTATAGCTCATCATTTTATTTGTATCTAGCTTATCCTTCCCAAGTTTCTCTTGAAAAATTAAGCATGTGTTTGTGTGTTTTTGAGTGTGTATGTATGTATATATGTGTGTGTGTGAATATGTATTTACACAAACATATATAGGTATGTATATATATATATACACTTATATTTACATACGTATGTTACATATATAATTTCCCCTTATTTCTTTAAAAAAAATTTTTTTGATGTTTATTTATTTTTGAGAGAGAGCACAAGCAGGTGAGGGGCAGAGAGAGAGGGAGACATAGAATTCGAAGCAGGCTCCAGGCTCTGAGCTGTCGGCACAGAGCCCGATGCTGGGCTTGTACCCATGAATGTGAGATCATGACCCAAGCTGAAGCCAGAGGCTTAACCAACTGAACCACCCACGGGCCCAATTCCCCTTTATTTCTTATACAAGGTAGCGTACTATATGTTTATTTGCAATTTGCTTTTTTTTTTAGCTTCTGAATATATTTTGAAAATAATGCTATTCCAGTTCATAGAGCTCTACCTTAGTATTTTTCATTTTTCACTAACAATCTATTATATGGCTATCTTATAGTTTATTCAGTCAGTTCTCTCAGAATGGTCCTAGTTTTTCTCCAATATTTTGTTATTTCAAACAATGTTGTAATTAGTAACTTTGTGCAAATGTTGTTTCAGATTGATTCATGTTGTGGACAGGTACCTTCACAATACAGTCCCAGAAGGGGGATTGTTGGATAGAAAGGTAAATGCATATGTGGTATTACTGGATACTGTTAAATTTGTGATAGTTAATTTTATGTGCCAGCTTGGCTGGGCCATGGTGCCCAGATACGTGGTTGAACATTATTCTGTGTGATTTTGTAAGGGTGTTTCTTGGATGAGATTAACATTTAAATTGGTGGGCTTTGAGGAAAGCAAATTGTCCTCCAGAATGTGGGTGGGCCCTCACCAATAAGTTGAAGACCTCTATTGAGCAAAAGACTGACTTTCCCTGAGTGAGAGGGTAATTTCTGCCAACAAACAGCCTTTGGACTTCAACTGAAGCATCAGGTTTTCCTGGGTCTCCAGCCTGATGGCCCACCCTGCAGATTTAGGGCTTGCCAGCCCTCATAATCATGGTAGGCAATCCCTTAAAATACATACATTCACACCTACATACACATACACATACATATACATATACATATACATATACATATACATACATCCTATTGGTTCTGTTTCTCTGGGGAACCCAGGCTAATTTTGTGGTTATACCATTTTGCACTACCAGTAATGTATGAGGAATGCCTCTTTGCTAAGCATTTGAATTTTTGCCAAACTGATAGGTAAGAAATGGTATCTTGGTGTAGTTTTAATTTGTGCTTCTCCTATTATGAGTGAAATAGAGTATCTTTTTATATAAAAGACCATTTATATATTTTCTCCAGTGAAATACCCTGAGAAGATTTTTATGACGTAAACATCTCTTGTTGTGGACCAAGCTAAATTGCGGTCAGAAAGATAGACTAGGTCTCCAAGGTTAATGTAATCACGTTTCTAATAAGCATAGCCATTCCTCTGTAGAATTCAGAGTATGCATACCCTTTATTTCGCTGTACTTACAGTTCATTTTTTGTTAACCAGTATTTGCATAGCAAGATAGTACATACCGAGGAATTCTCTTTGATTAAATGTGTCCTGATAAGATTCTAGATTTTACAACACAATTGAGAAAACTCTCAGGTGTAAAAGATGCTTTGTTGGGCACCTGGGTTCCTGACCTGGCATCTTTCTACTAGGTAGAGTAGGGTTTTCTTTCTCCTTATCCTTCATCTTATGTGCCCACCCCCCACCCCACCCCCCTCCAGGCTTTCTGAAGTCGTCTTTGTACTGATTGAATAAACACAAGTCTGTGCTTTTTCCCTGTATAGCCAAATGCTTTCTTTTATTAACACTAGCAAGTGTAAATAGCTTCTCAAAAGGTACAAAGTGAATGCATTTCAAGTCAAATCTGCCTCCAAGGTGCCAACTCTGAAGAAAACTTCACTTTAACATGAACATTAGTTTCCAAGGTGGATTGCGTATCCCTAAATGATCATCCATTTTCCCAAAACGCCAGCAGGAAATGTGTTTGATAGGAATGGAGATAGAAGGGACCAGCAAATAGAAAGCTAGCATTTCTCCAATAGCCGATGGTTGCCACGTGGCAGCATGTGAGATGAATACACCTTGCAGACATGTTCTGTTTTCTTTAAGTTTGAATTAGTTGCATTCATCTAAAAGCTCAGAAAATGTATTGAGCAATTTCGTTGTGGACAGTTCCTCATTTTTCTCTACCATTTTCTTTCAAACACGTTGTGATGAATGCATGTAATGAATGCAAATGTTGCTTTGCCTGGTGGAGATGTAATTCTGTGAAAAGTTCCTAGAAGGGAACTTCAAGAGTTTTTAAAACTCTGAATGTTTACTTAAAAAAAGGGAGAGATCTGGCAATGCTGGACCAATATTCCTCACTGGTTATAATTCATATGGACACACTGAGCGAGAAGAACAAAGGTGGAGGCATCACACCTCCTGATTTCAGACTATATTATGAAGTTACAATAATCAAAACAGTATGATCCTGGCATTAAAATATAGACAGACCAATGGAAAAGAATAGAGCCCCAAAATATGTTCACACATTTACGTTCAACTAATCTCCAACGAAGGTGCCAAGAACACATAATGGGGAAAGGGTAGCCTCTTCAATAAACGGTGGGAGAATTGGACATCCACAGGCAGAAGAATGAAATTGGCCTCTTCTCTCACACCACATACAAAAATCAACTCCAAGTAGGTTAAAGACTTTTTCAACGTTTTTATTTATTTTTGGGACAGAGAGAGACAGAGCATGAACAGGGGAGGGGCAGAGAGAGAGGGAGACACAGAATCGGAAACAGGCTCCAGGCTCTGAGCCATCAGCCCAGAGCCCGACGCGGGGCTCGAACTCACGGACCGCGAGATCGTGACCTGGCTGAAGTCGGACGCTTAACCGACTGCGCCACCCAGGCGCCCCTAAGTAGGTTAAAGACTTAAACAGTACTTGAAATTATAAGACTACTAGAAGAAAACATAAAGCAAAAGCGTCCTGACATTTGTTCTAGATGATTTTTTGGATATGATCCCCAAAACATAGGCAAGGAAAGCTAAAAAAAAAAAAAAAAAAAAAAAAGACACATGGAATTGTATGAAATTAAACTGCCCAGGAAAGAAAACAATCAACCGAGTGAACAAACAGCCTATCAAATGGGAGAAAATATTTGTAAATCATACATCTGATAAATGGTTAATATCCAATACATAAGGAACTCAAACAATTCAATAGCAAACAACAAAGAACCCGATTTAAAAATGAGCAAGGCATATAGCCATGTCTTGGAAGAAGATATACAAATGGCCAACAGTTAATTAAAGTGTTTTTAGCATCACTAAGCATCAGGGGAAATGCACATCAAAGCCACAGTGATGTATCATCTCACACCTGTTGAAATGACTATCATCAAGGAGATAAAAGATAACAAGTGTTGGTAAGGACGCAGAGAAAAGGGAACACTTGTGCACTGTTGGCAGGAATGTAAATTCGTACAGACATCATGGAAGATAGTATGGAGGTTCTTCAAAAAATTAAAATAGAACTACCATATGATCCAGCCATCCCACAGCTAGATGTATATTCAAAGGAAACAGAACCAGTATCTCAAAAGGATGTCTGCTCTCCCATGTCCATTTTAGCATTATTCACACTAAGCCAAAATATGGAAACAACCTAAGTGTCTGTTGAAGGATGAAGGGGTAAAGAAAATGTGATGTAGGGGCACCTGGGTGACTCAGCCCGCTAAGCCTCTGCCTTCGGCTCAGGTCATGATCTCACAGTTCGTGGGTTCAAGACCCGTGTCAGATTCTGTGCTGACGGCTCAGAACCTGGAGCCTGCTTCAGATTCTGTGTCTTCTCTCTCTCTGTCCTTCCTCTGCTCAAGCTCTCTGTCTCTCTCTCAAAATAAATAAATGATCACCTAAAAAAAAAAAAGAAAGAAAGAAAATGTGATATAAATATATACACTAGAATACTATCAAGCTTGAAACAAAAGAAGGAAATCCTACCAGTTGTGACAACATAGATAAACGTGAGGGCATTATGTTAAGTGTGATAAGCCAGACGCAAAAAGATGAATACTACATGATATCACTTATACATGGAATCCAAAAAAACAAATTCACAGAAGCAGAGTAGAATGGTGGTTGCCAGGGTCTGGGGGTGAGGGAAATGGGGAGATGGTGGTCAAAAGGTACAAAGCTTTAGCTATGCAGGGTAAGTGCTGTAGATCTAATGTGCAATGTGGTGACTCTAGTTAATAACACTGTATTGTACACTTGTAACTTATTAACAGAATAGATCTTAAGTGTTCTCACCACACACACCCACACAAATGGTAACTATTTGAGGTGATAGAAATGTTACTAGCCCGATTATGGTAATCATTTCACAACGTACATGTACATCCAAACTTCATGTTGCACACTAGAAATATATACAATTTAATTTGTCAATTGTACCTCAGTAAAGCTGGGGGGTGGGGAAAGAAACCAAACTCAATGTCAATTTGTGCATGATACCTGGAAAAATGTTCTGTTCCTGCCTCTGGTTCACAAAGTAGTTGCCTGTGTCTTTATTATAGATCTCATCATATCTCTTGTGTTTATGATTACCCATCTTTCTATATACCTCATGATGGAGATTTCCTCAAGGTCAAAGGTCTATGTGTCTTTGGATCCGCAGCACCTATCTGGCACGTAGTTAGATGTGATATATGTTTGTTTGTTTGTTTTCTGTGAATGAGCAATGAATGGTCTCTGGATCTAAAAACAGTAGAACACCAGGAAGACAGAACAATATCGCTGTCTGAAAGACCAACATCCACAAATGGCTCAGCCCCTGGGCTGCACATCATTAGTTTGGACTAGTTTGTTTGCAATTCATACGTGAAAACCTGAAAATCAACGGAGATATAACCTCCTACTCCAAACAGATGAAGTTTCCATTTTTGATTCCGTCAATCTTAACTATGTAAAGTGAATTAAACTCATTATCTAACATTTCCCAGGGGCAACACAGCCACCCCAGGAGAGCTAGAGGCCCATGGGGAGAGCATTTACGTATGAAAAAAAGTTCTAAACACAGGCCCCTCAGAACCACAGCACACAGTCACTTGTGAACATTCTTATTTTTCTTATTCCTTAGGATTTCCTTAACTTTTCCTTTTGTTTCAAAAACAACATCTGTGAAAAACAAAGATCTTTTCCTCCCTTCTTCTTTCAAGCCCATTGCCAGCTAAGAGGGACATGGGGGTTCCTGGTTCCCGAACTTTAAAAGTCTGATCAGTGCTCGTTTCGGCAGCACGTATACTAAAAGTCCGATCTAGGTCGTCATTTGAGACTAGATTGGATCTGACAGACAGTCTTATCTGCCTCAGAGAAACTATAAATTTTTATAAAGCCTGGCTTTTAACAGCCGAAAGGCCAATCTCATCATGGAATAGCAGAAACGCGCAGGGAGAGACCGAGGAAATTCATCTCTGGAAAGCTCGCGAGTCAGACGTTTTTAAATGGAACAAGATTCGGAACTGGTTGCTTTCAGAAGATATTAAACCCGACCTCGGGTCTCATCAGGCCGGGGCTCCTCGGGGATCTTGCGGACCAGAAAGCTCCATGCGAAGGAAACATGACAGAAATTGTCATTCCCCTTGTCACTCGGAAGAGCCACCTGCTCCCGAGTTAAAGCCGCTTTCTCTTCAACTCGCCAGCATGCTAATTAAAGAATGACTGCAGGATGGTGGCGTTGCCAGGCGCTATGAAGATCCATCACTGTCTTTTTATACGGGTAGGCGAACGTTTAATTAAAACTGCATGCGGTGTGTCTGCCCTACCCACCAGCACAGCTACATTTCATTTACCTGAGAAGACCATTTCCTATTAGTGTCTTTCAAGAGGTAAAGCACCCTGAAACAGACTTTGCTGAAATAATGTCTCTGTACATGATTTAATTAAGGGCGTCAGTAATTACATCAGGACAACATGAACCTGACTTTCCTTGGGGTTCCCGTTGTGCCTCCTGATAACGAGTCAGCTGTCTCTTCAATGGCATCCTCATCTGGAGAAGACGGCAGAGAACCGAGGATGGGGAGGAGTGCTGAGCCTGGCTCTGTTACATTTTACTCGGGCATACGAGTGTTAATGCGCCGAAAAGCCCTTTTTGGAAAGAGAGAGACAGAGAAACTCTGAGAGGAGATGGAAATGAAAGGTGCTCCCAGGACTCGCTTGTTGCGGAACTCTTGCTGACGACTAGCATGATCATCCGCGCTGCAGACCTACACTGAGCACCCTCTTGAAACAAAATTATAGGCAGTTTCTTTCGTTTTGTTTGAATTTTGAGCTTATGCACACTCCCCTCCCTTTTAATCGAGCAAAATATTTTGGCCGGCGGTAGATTTTAGCTGGAGAACATGCTGCATGCCACAAAATTCGAAAACAAATCGTAACTGTGGATGGATGCTAACTTCAGGTCAAAGTAGAGAAAACTATCTTACGCGAGGATCTTGAAGACTGGAGATAGTCCTCTCCACTTGGGAGTTTTCAGGTTAATGTTTCCGGATCAAGTACAATGGAAAGGGGTAAAAATGAGGCTTAAAAGCCCTAGGTCCGCTAAGAGCTGAGCCTTAATTACAGGTTCCCCTGCTCAGCTTCAGGGAACAGAAGCTTCTTCCCTGGAGGCGGCCCTCTCAGTCTTTCTGCTCGGCAGGTCTCCAGATGGCTCTAACAGTCCCTCGTGGGTGGGATGGCTTGTCCGAAAGAAGCGATGGTGGGGTGTGGCAGGAAGTGTAAGAAAACCATCATGGGCCTTGACTGAGCTGCAAATTGAACCCAAAGAGTTTGGATTCCATTGGCTCTCCCTTGCCAGCATGCTTGACATCCTAGCGAGCACTCGTCAAGTACAACCAGACCATTTGTTTCCTTTCCAGCACCAAGGAGGTTTCCCTCCCAGAAGAGCGAGGGAGGCATGTCCTCATCACCATTTTGAAGGGGCAGACTCACAGTGTGCTGCCACTGGGGCTGCAGGTTGGACTTCACAGTTATTTTTCTTGCTGAGGACCCAGAAGGAAGTTTGCTTGGAGAAAATCCGTGATATTGTCACATCAATGCAGTAAATATTTTATCACCCTCGTACTGGAACAGCTTGGTACCTCACCAGCCAACCCTGGAAAAATGGCTCCCTCCCTCAAAAAAGAGTTTCTAGAGCACCTGGGTGGTTCAGTCGTTGAAGTATCTGAGACTCTTGATTTTGGCTTAGGTCATGATCTCATAGTTCGTGAGTCCAAGCCCTGCATCGGGCTCCATGCTGACAGCGTGGACCCTGCTTGGCATTCTGTCTCCCTCTTTCTGTCCTTCCCCTGCTTGTTCTCTATCTCTCTCTCAAAAGAAATTAAAGTAAACTTTAAAGAAGGGTCTCTAAGAGCAAGAGCTGAGAATGCCCAGGAAAGCAGTAGAGGAGACACACAGAGGAAGTATGAAACAGTAAGAGCTTGAGGGGAGAGCACTGTTTGGGAGC